ACTTGAGCTGTGATCCCAGTATAGCTATCACAAGGGTGGTTAGTTCCTGAATCTTTCGTTCTGATCGAAGGAACCCATCGACGTGTTTGTTGATTCCCATGGCACCTGCTATGGCTGCAAACGGGTACCTGGACATGTAGATGCGATTCGTCTCGTTGACCAGAGTAGTGTAGTCGTTCATCGTCTGCGTCTTCAGGGCATCCGCAGCCGCTTCCACCCGACTCCTGAACCTCAGTCGATCTTCATCGTAGAGTTGCAGCAGTTGTGATCGGCTTGTGAAATAGTTGCTCTTCAAAAAGGTTACCGGTATATTTGTATGCCGGAGGAAACTGTCCAGGATTTGCAGGATCCATCGGTCAAATTCATGATCTTGTAGTAGATTGAAAGGCACCGATGTTAAAGGTGCCTTTCTCTTCTTCCTGACATCTGAAACGGAATCGCGAACTTGATCGGTAGTGGAATCATAGTTGAGTATGTTGGATGCAATCACATTTCTCACAGACGGGTAACTGATGTGATCGGGATTGTTTTTGAAGTGGGTGTCATATAGACGCTTTACTCGCGGATCGGCTTGCAGTTCCAACAGGGTGGAGGTGCTCAAACTGTGATCTGGTACTTGGGAAAGAACTTTCTTAACGCTTTTCAAGTATGCATTGTAGTTATTACCTCCTTTTTGCCGCATGAGTGGTGGTATACCGAGAACTTCCCACGAATTTGCTCTCTTCTTAATGATGTGTTGAGGATGTTTCGTCATAAACTGCAAGGTTTGCAACCTTTTACGCTTGGGTATCGAGAAGGATCCCTTTCTGAGTCCCACTCTTTGTATACTACTCGGTAGCCCATTTGAGAATTTCACCGTAAGATGCTCCATTCTTATTCATGATTGGAATTTTTTTCAATGTTGCGGCTAACTTTTCGGCTAACTTTTCGGCTAACTTTTCGGCTAACTTTTCGGCTAACTTTTCGGCTAACTTTTCGGCTAACTTTTCGGCTAACTTTTCGGCTAACTTTTCGGTTAACTCTTCGACTAATATCGTACACACACACACACACACATCAACGAGGTTTTTATTCAAAAGTCACCTTTAATGCAGTGTCTTCGCAATACGTGTAGTACTGATTAGAAGAGCAATCAATGGTTAGGATAGGTCTGCGACACACCGCCAATAACTTCTCATACAATCTAAAGATAATGGATGACTTCGTGCACAGACCACCAAACAGAGTATTGAGATAACGCTTGATATTGCTTTTATCAGTGAAGCGAAATAGATACATAAAGTTTGCATTGATCTTCATGTCTTTAATGTTATCAAAGCTCTGAGAGAGAAAGAACACGTTCAACTTATGATGATGACTGTACATGGTGAAGAACTTGTAGAGACACTCTCTTTGACTGCCGTGCTTCAAACCCATCACTCTGATGTCATCAATGATCACATAGGTGTTAGGCTGGAGATCCATGTCTTCGATACACTCGGGCATGGTGCTGTAATGCTTGAAGGATTTGAGGCTTGGGAGACGATACTGATCGGCCGGCGTGTTGGAGATGACAACTATACGCTCAGGTTGCACGCGTTTCAGGAGCTTGATGAGAAAGTAGGATTTACCCATGTTGCTCTGTCCCAGAAACAATACGTTTTGACCCCAGGATTTCAGAGCAGGAATGATTTCCGTGAACCAATCCTTAGACTCGAACTGAAGACCAGGAATGTGCAGCCCGTGTCGAGCAGTGGCCGTGGTCGGAACATCGTCGTTCCTTACGGGACTAGTCTTTTTCTTCCTCCCGATTTCCTGTCCAAGGAGCGAGATAAAGTCCATGATCAGATGTTGTAGGATGGACCGATGTGAGCGGAACTCATAGAAGACGGTCCTGCACTGTTAATGTTCTGTCGAATTTTTTGAGCAAATGGAGTTTCAGGACGGGTTAGGGATCTACGAGGTGCAGACAGGAACGATGAAGCTTCGTCGAGGGCACGATGTCCTAGTTTTTTGAACAAGGCCCTTCCTTGTTTCTTTATTCCTCGTGCCCTGCGGCCTTTGGAGCGAACTTGACGAGCTGGCTTCTTGGTTTTTCGAGATGCTCGTTGACGAATCTTCTTCGGTGCATGCCGACGACGACGACTTTTAGTGCGCTTCATGGCACCTGCTGAGCTTCCCTTCCTTACTCCTCTGCCGAATATTTTATCCATTACGTTGTCACCCAGTGATGCCATGGTACCCATGGCCAAGGGAGCAGCCAGATTCGTCAGGAGTGGTATGGCCTTGGCGGCTAATCCTGGTGGAATGGCTAGACCTCCTCGGTGCATGGCAGGGTTGTAAGCTGTTTTCATTTGCGCTTCCACAATGTCTCCGGACTCTCCTCTCCCCAAAAGCATGGGAAGAAGTGTCATTCCTGCCATGGCAGCCAGGGGTCCAAGTCCACCGCGTTGCATTGCATCTTGTTTTGTCGTGGGTTCCGCCATCTGCTTTTCCATCTCATCCGGTCCAGCACCGATTAGGTTTTTCCAGAAGCTCTTTTTCCAGAAGAATCCACCGTGTTGTCGACTCGATGTTTTCAAATCACCACCGTAGACACGATGTCTGGTCTCCAGGTCACCACCTTCCATGATGCCCTTTTACTACTAGGTCGGAATTAATTCATACAACTTCGGCTTTGATACCTTCATCTTTGCTCATGGTGTACAAGTACTTGTCCATGCAGAGAAGGTTGACTTTGATCGAGGCGCCATTTTCGCTAGGTCTCCTCACGGGGGCGTTTGTCACGTCGCTAAATTGATAGTCGATGGACAGATTTCCTCTCGATCTTGGATTGTCTGTGGTCCGATCCAGATTCAAGTTGATAGGCACCATAAAGTAGTGATTGCAGTAATCTGCAGCGGTGATGGGGATTTGCGTTCCATACGTCTTGCCGAAAAAGTCTTGAACCAGATTGTAGCCACGCAGGTAGGAGGATTTGTTGTAATCGTAGAAGTATTGCCCTTCAGTATTACGACTCACATCCCACTGGAACTTGAGCGGGTTGTCAAAGAGCGTCTGGTCGTTGACAGTGATACGAAGTTGACTGAGATTTGCATGAATCATGGCCAGTCTGTTCGAAGAATGCGATGCTTGACCTCCAGCCAATGCTGGCTGTGTACCATGAGTCAAATCTGTGAAGAACAGGATCATCCTGCGTGGAATGTCCGCATTGTGAAGCAGTTCCAGTGTACCAGCATCATCTGAAATGCTCTTTTGTATGAGACGAGGGCACCACGTGTGGAAATAGAGTTGTTTGGGAAGGCGTACACGATCGGTGAGATTGGGTTCCATGCGATAGGTAGTGTACACAAAGTCCAATTGGAGTAGATCGATCTCAATATCACCGACGCTCAGAGCACTGTTGGCACCACCGCCTTGATCGCTAAGCATGATGTATCTGGAAAGCTCGGATTGTGGCAGATCAAAGCGAAGCTTCACCTGTGTACCCGGGGGTAACCAAGCATCGTCCTGATTGAAAAACGGTAGGAAGGGTCTCAGCTTGTACTGAAACCGTCCAACAGCTGCACGAAGTGCATTTTCCTGAACCGTGTTGGAGAAGCCTTCGTTGGTGACAAGCTCGACGGTGGGTGCACGCTTGGGTGTGAAATTAGCGGCGAAATCCGGTGCTTGTGCTGCATTAGCGTTTGCAGCGTTTGTTTCGAAGGCATAGCCATGCTTACGCTTCACACCAAGTTGATAGGGCGTTAAATCCACACCTCTCAATGCTCTTTGCCGATCCAGTTTCTGTAGACCGTAGAGATCCGAGTCCACGTACTGAAGGCGTTCGCTGCTGCTTTCCATTAGACTGAGGATGTGCTGAACCATTTGCATGTCGGCAACTTTACTCGATTGCGTGACCTCTGTTCCGTTGATCTCCACTCGAATGTTCTTGAACCACGAAAAGGCTGGTGACGTGGTGCACACCCATCGCGTGTAGTCTCCAGGCTGGTTATTGAGATTGTTTTTGACACTATAGCGCATTTTCACGATGAAATAGCTCTCCCCCAGAGCAATGAAATTCGGCGACGAGATGTCTAGTTCATTGTTCAGGGATGGTGGTGATCGATCTGCTGTGGAAAAGAGTCGTACTCCGCGTCTACCCTCAAGCAACGAGAGTTTCTTCTCCGTCCTGTCGAGGATGTTCTTCTGAACGATCTTCGTGTTGGTCAGGAGTCCCGTGAAGGACTCCGGAGCTTGTGGTGAGTATATCTCCTGTGCCATTCTTGCGAGTCACATTGTAATAGGGGTGAATTTTTTTCAAAGATCCAATATCCAGTGTCTTGCGAAAGTCGTTCATCATCGATATCAATCGTTGATGCTCCTCGTTAGTGAGCTTCCCATCTTCAAGAGTAATGCCCAATTCCAACATGAACGAGTCTTCAGCTCTCTCCATCTGCTGCAGTTGTTCAATACACTTGACAAGCTGACGTTTGGTGTCGAGAACGTGTTTACCAATGCATGCCATGATCACACCGATGATCGTGCTACTGATGGCGATGATTCGAATGCGATGTTCTCCAGATACAACACCACTCCCTTGAAGGATATTGAGAATGGTTTGAATGAGTATGAGAAAGGACAAGATTGCAGTGTTGTAAATCACGTACTTCTCCCGGCAACGCACCTTTTCGCTCTCCAATTTCTTTCGTTTTGCTATATCCTCCACCATGTCACGCACGTGACGGACACGAACATCTGGAAGATCCATCTAAGTCGTGTTGGTGATCCGAAGATCAAGGTAGACGGGATATCCGGAAGTAATGTGTTCACCGGTGTTGAATTTCAACCAGAACGAAATGCTAGTCACGTTTTCGTGTGGAAGCAGCAGTCGTTTGTCTTCTTTCCCGAACACGTAGTTATTCAAACCGTTGAGGGTTTGAATAAGAAAAGTCTTCAGCACCCTCGAATCAGTATTGTCTTCGTACTCCACAGCAGGTCCAATGAGGTCGGTGTAGAGCAGGACAAGTCTCCTACCTTTCGTCAGATCCACAGCGAACGGGAACGTGTGAGATCCCTCGATCGTGTATGGCTTGAGAATAGTGCCCACACCCAGCACCAATGCGGGTGAGTCCTTCTTCAACAAGCACCGTTTATTCCTGGGTACCGAGACACTTATGCGGCTGGTGTGACGAGAGTAGGAAAACACAATGTCTCCGTGTCCTGCTCGTTTCAGAGTGGCATTGATAATAGACACCAAATCGTCTACATCGCTGTATGTTCCCGTCTTGATGGAAAGTCTATCCTCTTCTTCTTCTTCTTCTTCTACACCATGTACCACATAGAGTTTGTTCGTTGCCTCGTCTATGTTCTCAAAGTGTACTTCAAACTGAGCCGATTCAACATGCAGGACTTTATCACGCGTATCGAGCTCCTTCACATTTAGAGTAAAGTTCGGTTTGTGCAATCCCCTGCTCACGCCCGACGTGTTGTTCGCCACTGTCAATATCACAGACATTCTGGTGTTGTGATGACACTCACTATAGATAGGTTTTATTTTTCATTTTCATCTCAAGAATGTAGTGTAGCATGTGTGCTATATATTATGTACAATCAAAGTAGCACTTTCATATATCGTAGTGTGCCATGAGTTCTGTGTGGATGCGCTGGATTGTATGAGAAGATAAACTCTCTGCAAAGTGCAAATGACAGAACAACTTTGATGAAGTGCCGTTGAAGAATTGAGTACCACCAATGCTATAATTGCAATCTTCGATTCCATTGGTCCTGGAAAATGGGACAGTGTCTAAGTTGGAATGTATCAAAATGGAGTTTACGTATAGAGTGAATAGGCCTTCTGAATTCCGAGCGTAACTTATGACACACTTTGTACCCAAGAGATCCGTCATGCTCGACACAGGTTTATCCAAAGCCGCCGATAATTGGTTCGCTAAAGACGAAACGGGTATGTTGAATGATGAATGGCCGGGACGCGTGAAGTAGTTGCCACTTATGTGGGTGGCAGTGAACAACACGTACAAACTATCCAAGCTGAAATTTCCGACAGTATCGATATCGAATGCCTTCAATGACATGTTTCTAGGGTCAGGTGCGTCCACTTGAATTACTTGGAACATTGCAAAAGACATGTTGTCGTGAAACAGATTGACGAATCGTTCTCTAATGGAAACTTGGCTGGGTTGTGTAATGTTGAGGTAGAAGTGATCGTCTCGGAACATGTCGATGCTGTTCACGTTGATTCTCTTGTCCTTCATGTCAACGATATTTCCCCCTCTGTATCTGTTTCTGCTCACCCTGTTGACGGATTCAAATCTGCTAGGATGAGAGTATATGTAGAGGTAGGCGTTTCTCCGAATGAGAGGTAGTAGATGAAACGGATCGGATAGGTTCTGATTTGATTGCGGACCCATGGGGCCTCTGGTTCCTGGAGGACCTATGGGGCCGATGATTCCTTGGAGACCCACGGGACCTCTGTTTCCTGGAGGACCGGTTGGACCGATGGTTCCTTGGGGACCCATGGGACCTGTGGTTCCTTGATCACCTTGCACACCACGTTCACCTTGTCGGCCGTCTTGCCCATCTTCTCCTCTAGGTCCAATCTCACCTTCAGGCCCGACCAATCCACGTTCTCCACGTGGTCCAACTTCACCTCTGGGACCTTCTGGACCAGGTATTCCTTGATCACCTTTTTGACCGCGTTCACCACCTTGCCCATCAGCTCCTCTAGGTCCAGTCTCGCCTTCAGGACCGATCAATCCACGTTCTCCACGTGGACCAGCTTCACCTCTTGATCCATGAAGCCGACCAAACGCCATCCATTTCGAGCTGAATTTCTTGTACACGATGAGCGTGGTTGCATCGAGATAGAAGTCACCATTTCTCCCTACAGAGTTCAGTGGCATGCCACCTCCGCTAAGCCATCCCAATCCCCGATCACCACGAGGTCCTTTCATCTTGCGCACAGTGTCCATACCAGTTTGCAATCTCGATGATGCTTGTTGGATTTCATTCTTGACCCAACCGGCAGGGACAGCACATGTCAAAGAACTATCATCGTACGCCAAATTACAGATGGAATGCTCGTTCATGTCGAGGTTAGCATCCATGGACACGGATCCATCTGTTTTCACGTGCAGCTCATCAGCTGCTATGGCTTGATCTGTGTAGCGCGTAGATCTGTTTTCCACATCTTCCACTTTGCTCTCATCGGCTTTCACCTCTTTCAGTTTCTCAACATCATAAACCAAGGTGTTTTCGGTGTCATCGTTCCCCACAACTGATTGTATTTCGGTAATATCATTCTGCATGCTTTGCATGTGCTTGAGGGAAGTCTCCTCCCCATCACTCCTATGGAAATGCGTAGCCCAGTACGCCATCTTCACACACACACACACACACACACACACACACACTGTTCTAATTATGATAGGAAATATTTTCTTTCTCAAATAAATCTTTATGATGCTCATAAGAACAGGTAAACAACAGGTAATGCACAACAAACAAGAGCCACAGTCATCGTGTTGATGAGTCGACCGTTCATCCTCCTCCTCGATTGTTCATGAATGTGTTTCATGAGGAAATCTCGTGCTAACAACACCTTCGCACGATCGCCTTTCCGTGCCAGCATGTCCAACAGAGTGACTGAATATGCCAAGGTCATCTCCAGGGCAATGACGTCGTTTGACGCATGACTCCATAAACCTTCCATGATGCCGCATATGCAACTTTCAAGTCGTTCAGCTTGTTCACGATCACCATCACCAACAGTAAAGCTCGCAGCATACCTGAGAATGTCAAGTCTCTTCATAGCGACATGTTTAGCAGATGTCCACACGTGAAACAATGTCGAATCACGAACGAACAAATGGTCAATGGCAAAGGCATGACGAGTCTCCGAGCATTCACCTTCATCCTTTGCGTATGTTGCAAGAACATGGTCAGCAACTCGTACTAGCAGATGACACACCTGACATTCGTGAGTCTTGTGATCAGCCGATCCGTTAAGACTCTTTGCAACGTGAAACCATCTCTCGTAAAGGGAATTCATTTCCTAGAATGCGAAGACACGAGGCAACTGATCAATACTGTATCGGGTGAAGGAATGACTCGACTGCATGTCAAGCATGCATATTTATACAAGTCAGAATGGGGTGGGTTGAAAATGCAAAGTTGACAACCAATCACCATCAAGCCCGCCAAAAACAGATGATGTAACCTTGACATGATTGATCTTGTCATGAATGACGCATTCATTGATGGTGTTCACATGAGATCACCCTGGCTCATCTTTCCCAATTCCATTCTTTTCACATCCTGCAACCCATTCTCCACTAGTAGTAGCAGTGGGGATACTAGAGTCCGAAGAGGCAAGGCAGCACTCTTCCGTGGACGTACTACTCGACACAACACCACCCATACTTGTTCTTTAGAAGTTTTTTTTTTTTAATGAGTATCATGAGGTATTGACGTAGAAAGTAGTATAGGATAGTATAGGATAGAATAAGAATGAATGATCAGCTGTGTGATAAAGAAGGCAGTTCATTAAAGACTTATTGGAAGGTCTCTACCAGCTGATCGTCTTGTTGGACGACGACACTGCATAATGATGTGAAGCTCTCAGTCAGCTGTTTCAGCTCCGTGATAGAAAGTGCCATGTGTGCGTCCAGAGCACGATGAAAACATCTGGGTTCCACGTTGATGCAGATGATTGGAGCAACAGCAAGACGTACCTTCATCACTTGCTCGTCAGTGTCTAGGGAGACTGCCCCGGGGTAGATGAATACATCTTGTTCCACATCCAGTTCAAACGAGCTGGTCGGGACTAGCTTGTTTTCACCGTTGATGTACACCCGACATTGACCGTCGGACAAACGTGATGTATAGAAGTTGGTTATGATCTTCTCCACACGTCCACTTCGGAGAGTGTCACGGAGCGATGGACAAGTCTTGATCAAGTTCGTAATGATGAACTCAGTGGACTCGTTCAGTTCGATGTAAACTTGTCCTTGAGCATCTTTTCGAGCTGTTGCCGTACTACCACAGGCTGGCAGAGCTCCCGAAGGGAAGTACATCTTATATCCAGGCTTGTAGAAGGATTTACCAGATAACTTGTAGGGCAGCTGCATGTCCTCCTGAAACCCATCCACCACAATCCCTTTGTGGAGCTTGGTAGGAGCAGGTGATGCATAGCGACGCTTAGCCGGTACTGGCTTCGAAGAGAGCACAACTCGAGGAGGGTCAGCAGGAAGAGCGGAATTCTTCTTCATCCTTCGCTCGTATAGGGAAGCCATCTTCTAGGAAGTGAAGTCAGGACAACTCGTCAGCACTGTATTCGATGAACGAATGACTCAACTGCAGACAATCATTCGTATTTATACGAGCCAGAGAGGTATGTGGATTGAAATGAGAAGATATGTGTCAACCAATCAAGCCCGCCAAAAACATTTCACCAATCAGCATCAAGCCCGCCAAAAACATTTGACCAATCAGCATCGTGCCCGCCAAAATCATATCTCATTATAAAGATTCCTTACATGATACCGCCACCTTGGTGAATTGATACAGTATGGAAAGAAGATCACAGTCAAACGTGTGCATGTTCTGGATCACGTGATCAAGTGAATAGATTTCCCAGCAATAAGCATCAATCAATGATGTCATAAGAGATATATCAGATTGAGATAAAAGCAGCAAATTCGAACGCAACGTGGACAATTGCAATGAAGACACCATCCTAGTCGACTCCATGAGATGCAGTACGTATAGGAGTGGAAAATGCTGAGGAAGAGGTTTCATGATTCGACTGAACCTCAACCAGGCTACATTGCTATGAGGTAAGTAGGAATACAGTTTACGTAATGCATCCACATTCGTATCGTATACTATACAGGATAATGCTATAGCATAATTTATACTCTTGTACAAACAGGACTTCTTCATCGCACGTATCTGCTCTCGAAGAGGGTGTACACGAAGCTGATCGGATAAGAGTTCAGTTTTCGAAAGAAAATGCAAAAGATGACGATCCACACCACATAACCGCTCATGCGCAGCGTAAGGCTTCTTCATCAAACTACATCTCTGATGCACATCAACTTCAGGTAAGTAAACCACATCCATGACAAGTCCACAAGAAGAACATACGTATCTTCCTTCATGAACAACATGATCAAGATGATGACACTGCTTTTCCTTCCCTTCTTGCTCTTCTTCTTCTTCTCCTCCTTCTTGTTCTTCTTCTTCTTCTTGTTCTTCTTCTTCTTCACGAAGTCTCTTTTCATGTACATAGGCACGTAAGATCTCTAATTCAGAATCCATCTTCACCCCACACCATCATCTTCATATTGAAACATTATCCATCAATATATCTACTTTTATACCCACTCCTATCCGGGGATAATAGCAAAATACTCCTGAAAAAATAAATAAAAAATGAACAGAATAAAGATTAACAATGACGATAAGTGTGCCTTATTCAACCCAAAGGTCAAAGGTCAAACCCTGGGGGGGGGGAGTCCCGGGGTCAGACTAAGCACGACCGACACAGTGTGCCTTATTTGGCCCAAAGGTCAAAACAATAGAAGAAAGGCATTCACATCTCAATCTGATATCATAGTCGAAAGATTCCAAACCCGAACAAAAAAGACTCACCATGACGGGGGCGTCTTTCCGCTTTCGAAACACATCGTGTTCTCCAAGGTCGTCACCTCCCCGTGGCGTGACCCCTTGGTCTTGTTTGAGACGTCTAGACGTAGCCTTGTTTACAAAGGTCATCGCGGCGTGAACTTGACCTCGAGGTGAAGTAGTCTCAACCTGCAGTTTCATTATCGACTCCTTCTTGCAGTGTGAAGAAGCTAAAATGGCGTGGACATTTTCTGAGACGTGCAGAGCAGAGAAATGGTATTTATTTTCATGCGATAATGAAGAGTTCTCAATCCGTCGCCTCAGTGCTAGCAAGACAACCAGGGATCTTGACCCGATGATAGCACATCCCAGAAGATTCGATATGTCACCACTCACTGCTGCTGAGTATATTATCTGCAGGGTCACCAGTCTGATCTTGAATGTGAAGAATAGGAAACAGCACCTTCCTAAAATCGTCATCGGTGGTGTGGAGGACTACGGAACTATTAGTGAGACTGATGATGGTGTCATACTGCGAAGGTGGACTGATGGTAGACACTCATTCTACAAGCTTAGTGACATGCGTGACGAACCGTGCTCTCAACACATCATCGACCTCTTCGCTGATGCAACCTATTTGGATTCCAGCGACGTAATGCAACTTGTCAAGGAGGTGAACGAAAAATGAAGTCTCTCGAGTTGATCGTGTGCGTGTACGACGTAGTACCAAGGCCGTTCAACTCCGTGCCGTTGCAACAAGAGTAACGCGGATTCGTGTGCGAGTTGGTACGATCGACATCGGCGACGATGGATTTATCTCCAAATTACCCGAGTCGACTGTTGACACGATGGCGGTGCAAAGGAGGTCGTCGACTGACAGTTCCATTGCTGACTGGGTGGAACCATTGGTGCACATCAGAGCGTCCGACAACTCCACCTCGTACTGCGTGTCACGGAAGAGATCATGGGTGAATCCATCCTCACACGTATTCGAAGAGTAAACTTTGTGGCCTCTCATCCAATACCAGCTTGATGAAATCAGGACAACAAGAACTGAATTGTACTGCCTTTCTCCTCCACTCCATTGCGATATTCACTGTTCGTTCCATTATTCTTTGTAATGACATGTATCGTATCTATCAAGAACTGACCTTTCTGACGTGTGTGCGAGCAGGACCATTTTTGAAAAATTGCATGGGGAGGTGGGGTAGGTCACGGAAAAAACTTCATGATAAACACCATATTCAACATTCTACTTTTTATACCCACTCCCATCCGGGGCAAGGTGGCCCAAAAAAGTGAGATTCAAACCCACATGTGCACAACACATATTTTCAATAATACCCCATTTTTTTGAGGTAGGGGCACCCCCTGGCACATATTTTTATCCGCAAAAAAACCGGGCCAAAAATAATTTTCACCGCAAAAATGGGGTACTATTAGTACCCCATTTTTCAATAATACCCCATTTTTTGGGACCCGGGCGCCCCCTGGCCCAGAACCCGCTCGTCCCTTACTACTCACCTGCAATGAAAAGCAACATAAACAGGACAGGCACAGAGCCACGTACCACCGGCAAGAAGAAAAAGAACACCTGACGTCATTTCAAGGTTCAATAAGCACCCAAATCAGCCACACACAGAGAGAAAGAGATGCACACACGTTTACACAGGAACTCAAGAACCCAAAATAAATATTGCAAAGTAAGCGCCAGTGAGGTTGACGTTCTGCAACTAAAAGATAAAGGGTGAAACGACCGGGATCCTCAAAGGACACCGCCAAAGTCGTCAACAAAAAGGATGGCATATGAATCTGTTAACTTTCAGCACCAGGACATACATATCCTTGCATGTGTCCGTCAGAAAGAAAGGATTAGCAAGTTGTGCTCTAGATTTATGTCTGCAAAAATGAAATATTACCTTTTCATAAATGAAGGCAATGCCACTATAACAAGCAAGCATATTGGTGCATGCATGCGCTGACAGTTACAGACAGCCAGACAGACACAGACAGACCGACACACATCACACACAGTTACACTCTGTCACACACACATACACACACACATACAAACACACACACACACACCTTTGACCTTTGACGCCCATCGCCGGAGGGGATGATAGCAATGCTACGGCAGAAGCCACAGCAACTTGTGCTGGGATTGCACCATTCACCAGCTTGCAAGGCTGAAGAATTGCCCGTCACTATTCAGCCTGGCCTACACCATACAGCTATTTGAAGTGATTTTTTTCGGGCCAGTGAATCCCTATTTTTGGTCTTTTTCATGTTTTTCCCGCACACACATCACACCACACCCTCCGGCATGCACTGGCTGTTGGTAACCACCCAGGAGAATGAAAGAAAAGTCAGGAAGAGTCTGAGAAAGAGAAGAAAGACGCGTGTGACCATATTCGTCGGGAATCGAACCCGCAACCTATCGATTGGAAATCGCTGCACATACCACTGCACCATATGGGACACACACACACATACACATACACATACACGCACACACAACTCATTCATTGATATACCAATGAATTTTCACGGTTGTAGTACCTCAGGCCTGCGTCGTTTGGCTAACGGCTTCGTTTGGTCTTTTTGCTGAACAAATGCTGCCCTTTTCGTTGGTAACAAACGAATTGGACCATGCCTTGCAGGTCCAAATCTATGCTGTTGATTTGGATGATCGCGAGCATGAACCAAATGGTATCGGCTTTTGGCTCGAGTTGCTCTTCTCATATCCATTCTGGAGTCAGCGGCAGTCGAGTCGGTGGCAGCCCCTTGTGTTCGGGCGTGTCGCAGTCTTTCTTGAGAATTGCCAATAGTCCGGATGGTAGGGCTGCGCTGTGCACTGCTGTCACCAGGTATGGTTATCAGCAACTTGAAATCAGGTGGAAGCACCTGCGCTGGTCCAGCTGCAGAGTAGATAGGACAGTAAGGGTTAGCATCAATGATACATTGTCTTGATGCATGGCAAGCAGTATAGATACGCCGCATCCAGCAACATTGCGTTCACCATGAGCAAGAGTACGCAAGTAACCGGTAAAACGCAACTCCCGCAGCCCTTTCCGTACCAAGGACGTATAACATGTTTGTTTGATTTTCCTAATATTTCAGGTGAAATGGGCCTTGCGTTCACCGTGAGCAAGAGTACGCAAGTAACCGGTAAAACGGAACTCCCGCAGCCCTTTCCGTTCCAAGGACGTATAACATGTTTGTTTGATTTTCCTAATATTTCAGGTGAAATGGGCCTTCGTGCTTCATACAACTAACAGCAGTGTAGCAGCCATTTTGCCGTGCAGATTTCTATATACCTAAAAAACGTACCGCATACACACGCTATTATTGTGCACGAGGGCTAAGTACAGTCTTACAGCAAACAGGAAATGCTTACCTTTGACTGGATTTCCTTGGGGTGCAGTCGTAGTGGGTTGTACTTGGCCAGTTTGCAGAGGTGCAGCAGGACGGAGCTTCAAAAGCTTGAATGGGCAGAACGGCTTGATACACCCCATTAGCTGAGACTCCAAGTAGCATGGCATGCTGCCACGGTCATTCTGCAACACAGTCATCAAGAGCACATCGAAAATAAAGAATCTCAGAATGCATCACCGTGCTCTAGGCTTTCCCCAAATCGCGATTTTATCGCCTGATGGGCTTTTCGCTCGGCCCGAAAAATGACCAAAATTCATCAGATTCGGCTGACAAATCAGCTGATTGTTTGAATATTGGCTGCAAAATTGGAATATACTGGGCTCAGGTAGGGTTGGAATGATTGTGGATTTTCACCTTTCGATTAATGTTTAGCTTAAAGGTGGCGCTTCACCTTTCTGGCACCTTTCAGAGGGTCAAAAATCGAATTTGGACCCCATTTTCGCTTCCAGATCCTCCGGGTAGGTCACAACCGCACATCCTGAAGTGAATTGCTTCAGTAGTTTTTAAGATATGGACTTTCAAAGGCCGCTATTGCCAAAAATAGTAATTGTAAATTCAAAAAATTCAAATTTTAACGCAGTAGAATTTACATTACACATGTTTTGCATGTAACTTTGATTTCGCTGGCATTTTAGCGATGAAACTTCGCGGAAAGGCTGAACATCTCCCTGGTTTTACCTTGCTGCGTCCCACGCAGAGCTGACATCCCCATCGGCATCAGCAGTGCCAGTGCGCATGTCACCACACACAGTGCGCATGTCGTACTTCAAATTTTTGGTAAATATTTTTATACCAGCAATCTCCAATCTCAGCAATCTCCAAACTGTAGCTCTTTATCAGTTTAGCTGCTTTGTTGGCTTTCATCTGTTTTGTGGAACCTCCTTTGATCACTATGGGCAAGAGGCAATACGTAGGCCGTCCTGGTCGTCCAAAGAAGCGCAAATTCCATGGAAATCAATGCGCTAAATAATTTAATTGTCGAGTGAAATTACGAAAATTGTCGTGGCAGAGGACTCTTCTGTGTTGCCAGAAGATAGGGATGATGCCGGAGTTCAACAGTCTAATTCTGGTGAGAGTGAGACATCTAGTGGCAGTGACAGCGACAGCTCTGGAGATGACCATGATGATTACCTGACGACCGGGAGCCGAATTATTTATTTAGAATGTTTACAAAATTTACTTGCTGATAGTGCCTGTTGCTCAGCGTGCCATGGCACCCTTACACTATGTGAAGTACGTCGTGAAGGATTGGATTCAACTCTATCGCTGGCCCGTGACAGCTGCGAGGCTGAAAGCCGTGAAGCTATGTCCAAGAAGACTGGGCACTGCTGGGATGTGAACAGAAAGCCGGCTACTGCAATGACATGGATAGGACGTGGGCATCCCTTGTGAAATTCTGCACTGTGATGAATACGCCTGCACCCATGAATGTCTCTGCATACCAGAAGCACACCAAGGTACTAGCAAAGGCCGGTAGATTTGTTGCCACCAGCAGCATGAGTGTGCAGCTGCGAATGCCAAAGAGTTGGCGTCTTCCCCTGATATTGCGGTCACTTACGACGGAACGTGGATGCGAAGCGGCTTTACCTCCCTACATGGAGCGTTTCTTGCCATCTCGTGGGATACTGGCAAAGTCATCGACTATGAAGTCCTCTCCCGTCACTGCCAGCAGTGCACAATATTTCAGAGGAAGCTGAGCAAACATGAGATCTGCAAGGAGCAGTATACTGCCAACGTACGTGGACATGGCAATGACCTGCAAGGCATGGCACGCACGATATGGGCATTGGTTATGCATTGTGTGTTCAACAGATGACAAGCCGCAGCATCAGTTCTGCCCCCTGGACCAGCCTGTGTACTTGCGGCTGACTGAGAGGCAACGTCTCGAGAAATGCTTGCGTGGCGCTACTCAGAATCGGAACGAGTGCATCAATGGCCTCATTTGGCAGATTTGTCCAAAGACTGGCTTTTGCTTGTCAAGGACTGTCCAGACAGCTGTTGCCATAGCCACTGCTTGCTTCAACGAGAAGAACAAGGCCTTGGAGGAGATTCTTGATCCGATGGGCCTGACAGCTGGTCACTACACGCGGACAGCGCTTGAGAAGTTGGACCGTGAGCAAGCCAAGAATGCAGCCAGGAAATCCTCAGATGAAGTGAAGAGTGCAAGGCAGAGGCGAAGGAGAGTGAGGTAGGGTGTGGAGGAGCAGACTGTTGATGACAAAGGTCTCACCTATGAGACTGGGGCCTTATAAAAAGTAGCTGGCGTGGTGGACACAGATTGTAAATACATGCATTATACTGCAATTTTTCCCCTTTTTTGGCTATTACCAAAACTCTTAACCAGGCTACTGAGATAATCGTGGCCTGCAGACCCAGCAAAGTATACATTTTTGAAATCTGTGAAGCATTAGCTAGACATCGAACCGAAGTTTCAGAGGGTTGCTCTTCATATGCTCATGATAGCAGAGGTCAAACCTTTTTGTTATTTTTTGCGCTTATCGTTCTTTTTTTTCAATCTCCTCCACTTGCTGGCTTGTTTTGCTGATGTCCCCTTTCTTTGGTTCAATGTCTTGCCATGTGTGTGTGCGTGAGACACTGCAGTGGCACTCATTTTATGCATAGGACGCATGGTCTTCTATATTGTGGTTACAGGCGAACCTTTCGGCAGATTTTGCGAACAGATCCGTCACATGTATGCCAACACTAGATAGATGGCATCTTTGGCTTTATGTTTGCTGTTTCTGCAACGGGTATATCCAAGGAGTAAATGCTGAAATTTTTATAAGAATCTGTTAACCCATTGCTCAGATATGTGTGCTTGCGTGGGACGGTGCCGGAAAGGTGTAGCGCCACCGATTAATGATGGATTAAGGGGGCAGCCTACCCATAAATTTCATATGGCATTCAATTGACCGTAACTTTTTTTTCTCAATGGATTTGAGTGAAATTTTGACCACACACTACTGCCACTATGGTGGCCCTCAGGCCATGATTTACAAGTTCTTGCGCCTCACTGACAGGCTTTCCAGGCCGGAAAAACTCAAATTTCCGCCATAGTGCCACGGTGTGCGAGCCACCCAGGAGCCAAACACATGCATTTACAATTTTTTCACATTTTCGTGCCCATTCAGTCCGTGGGCGAGTCCCAAACCTAAAACAAGTCCAGAAGCAGCCATGGGGGGTGGGATAGAGCTCCTCAACGTGGCCCTGGAATCTTTCACAACGGAACGAGTGGGCGTTCTCTCACAGACTCCCACAGACCAAAGTAAATTAATATTTTTAGGTTTAGCACGTGCTACGAGGTCGTACCTTTCATACAACATCCAGTGCTGGGAAGTCCACAGCAAGCTCTTTCCCGTTTTCTGTCATCTCAGTACGACAGCTTGCCAAGAGAAATTGTAAGGGCTCCACTCAGCTTGAAGCGGCTCCATACGTTCAAAGGAGATGTCCATAAGTACCTCACGCACCAACACTGGCTGATGGCTACCGACTTCTACGGATGAACTCTTGATTATGGCACGGGTCGTGTTCCTTGGTTCGGCTATGCTGGTGATATTGGGCTTCATTTACCTTTTATTAGTTAATTTTTTATTATTAATTTTTTATTTAGCTTGTTTTGCTTGTTATAATTTCTTGGTTTTCCACCCGGTTTAGTTATAATTTAAATTATTATTTGGTGCAGCTTTAGCGCAATGACTGTGGTTTATGATTTTTCTTTTTCTTAATTTCGTATTTAGCGCTTTGGGGCGTCATTATTTTCTTCTTATTATTTCGCACCAAGTTATTATTTTTGTGGTATTCTCTAGCTTCTCTTTGTTTTGCAGTTGTTCTTGTGCAACCCCCACCCATTTTTCGATGCCTAGTTGCAACGCTGATGCCGAGACCTCTGGTCGGTTGAGTTGCTCCCAGCACATCAGCACGTCGTCCCTACATCCCCTATGTTTTGTCCTTTTCCTCGTTTCCTTTTGTTCTCCACCTGTTTTCCAGTGGCGCTGCACACCAAATCCTGGATACCCTCAGAAACCAGCAAAGACTACCACTCACGTTCCACTACTGCCTAGTACTGAATCCTACCTCACTTCTTGACACGACTCAAACTTGCCAAAGTCACTAAATCAACGTCAACTACAATAATCAAGCCACATATCTGCAACGTCACGAGGGTGCTGGCAAAAGTCCTGCTGCACGGCGCCAGCTGCAATGTGGCAGTCTACCAACAAATTCGCTCTCTTTTTTCCACAAGCTATTACTTCACAATACGAACAAATTTCCAGGGGTGAAAGGGTAGCTCCAAAACATGGCAGTTTTGAAGGCAATTGACCTTCAGGATATGGACTATGCCCCTGGCAACTGCGTAGTGCGTACTCACAGCGGCAAGTTATTCAAAATCACCAAAACGTGGGTTTTCAAAGTCCCTAACGAAAAAACCTATAACGTAACGATTTGTTGATTGGAGTTATCGATCGCGTAATGAGTAATGGGTATAATTGTTTCAGCCGGAATTGCTATACTTGTTTCAGCTCTAGTTGAAAATACAATGTAGGCTATATGAAGTGTTGGCATATTGGCTTCAAAATTGGTGAGATAATGGAAGATTTGGTAGATTCTCGGCGATTCTCTATGGAACTCTCCAAAATCGGCGAAAAGCTTAGCGATTTCGACCTCTCAATTAACATATCAGTTTTGTGTCCTGTTACAGCACTTTCTGACATCTTATTTAAACTTGTTACAGTCGTGGATCGTTGCGTCGTACATGTAAACCGTTCCCATGTAACTTCTTCTTTTTTTAATTATATGTACTCTAAGTATTGGCTCAGTATCCGAGACATTTAATAATAATAATAATAATAATCCAAAGGTTCAGTTGGGGAAGTGAACTGCCTGAAAAGAGAAAAAATCGCCAGACCCACCAAGACTCGAACCCGCGAACTTGCTTGTCGTGAGCAATGCTCTAACCACTAAGCTATGGAACCGGGCTGAACCTAGTAGGCTCTGACAAGTCACTCCAAAGGCAGCTAACACCACGTGCCACACATACGGATGGCACTTGGGTCTTTCTCCCTCCCCAGGAGACCAACCACGGTCAGTTTCTGGACCCTACCAGAAAAAAAGGCAAGAGAGTGTGCAGGCAAAGCAACCACACAGGCTCGCTATACTTACATGTATTGCCATGTGGCGACGTGGACAATTCGGAACAATACAGCTTCCTCTGGCCCAATCTTGACAGACGTCTTCCTTGCCAAGTGCAGGGGCACTGTGTCGGAATGAACAAGCGGGACCCTTCTTGCAGCTCGAGTAGTAGAAGAAGTAGCAATCATTACCAACTTGAGCCATCTGTTGTTCAAACATTATTTTGTTGAAAAGAAACACAACAGATTCAACACCAATTAACTATAAAAATTGATGGATGAGGATACATGTATCTAAAATGGTTGTTCCTAATCGATTTTCTTGAGACTATCATCAGGGAAAAATTCGTCTCACAATAGAGGCTATACGGAGAAACAAACTACTTATAGGTTATCGGATAGTGGGAAGTATACAAGGTGAGGTGTGAAAAACAAAACTAACTAAAGTGAGACGAATTTTTCCCTGATGATAGTCTCAAGAAAATCGATTAGGAACAACCATTTTAGATACATGTATCCTCATTCATCATTTTGTAATGTCCGCTTCACTTATACTATTAATCGCATTAATAAAGTTATTGTCTCCTCGTCGCCTTCACTATAAAAAAGATTGAACTGGCGATGTAGGTTTTGTCGCCTCATGACTCCGGTTTGGGGCAAGATATTCCTTTCAAATTTTAGATTATGATCCTCTGTCCAGTCGTGTTATTTGTTGGTAATATTTCCAATTTCAGGGCTCACCACTACCATACAAAATTCAAAAAGCGTCGACCACAGTTTTGAAAAATGGCGATGGCCCCGAAACCAGAGCTTGTGCCGATCGATGTACGCGATGTACAGTCGAGTCCTAAATTACAGTTATTTTACGACTCCCTGGTCAAGTCTGCACAGCAAAGCGCCAGAGCCAAAGCAAATATTGTTGTTCAATGCCGGTAAAACACGCGGAGAAGAAATCCTTTCTCCAAGACAACTTTGGTCATTTTTCTCAATCCGCTGGTGAATGTCAACCTAGATAATAATTATGTCCTTGAGGTATTGGCGAACTGGGTTCCTGCCATCTACACGATAGAACTCAGCGTTTCCTGATCACGGCTCGACACACTGTTTTCTGTTTGGCCTCGCAGCTTTCACTCTGCGAGTGTGCAGTTTCCTGGCCACAAATGAATTCCTTAGTCATGACCATGATGACAAGTGACTGGTATGATCCCTGATGGACCTGAGTCATAAGCTTGAGTCAACACGAAGGTAAACTGTTCACTTGGAACGCTTGCTGCTTCCTCAGTCCATTCTTGTTGCACTAGCAGATATGCGTACGAGAGGACCCAAACAGACACTATTAGATACTGAGATATGGGATAGGTGGTCTCCGGTCCGGGATGGACAGTGAGACTCTGATACAGAGGGGCAAAGAGAGAAAGAGAGTGAGAGAGAGAGAAAGAGATAGATAGCGAGAGAGAGACAGACACACACACAGACACAAACAGAGAGAGAGAGAGAGAGATAGATAGAGAGAGAGAGAGAGAGAGAGAGAGAGTGAGAGAGAGAGAGAAGGAGAGAGAGAGAGAGAGAGAGAGAGAGAGAGGGAGAGAGAGGGAGAGAGAGAGAGCGAGAGAGAGAAAGAGAGAGCGAGAGAGGGACAGAGAGAGAGACAGAAAGGCAGAGACAGAGAAGGAAAGACAGAAAGAAAGAAAGAAAGAAAGAAAGAGGGGTGAGAGAGAGTGAGAGAGAGAGTGAGAGCTAGAGTGAGAGACAGAGAGAGAGAGAAATTGAATGAGTCAGAGAAAAGAAGAGCGGGAAGTAGAGAGAGATAAAGAGAAAGAGAGAGAGAGAGAGAGAGAGAGAGAGAGGCTCAGTGAGAGAGAAACTCAGATAGGGAATAAGACAGCAGTGAGAGAGGGAATGTGTAAATATAATGCCAGAACAAGCGAAAAGGGACATTATCCCGAACTTTGGGCATTTTTTGAGTTATCAACAGATTCTAGTAGCCAGAAGATGTACAAATCACATAGAAAAAACCAATTGGAAATCCATCCACGGATAGCAAAGTTATGGGCACTTCGTTGACGGTGAAACGTTTACGGTAGCTCATGGTGAGTAGTCAACCCGCCAACCCAAGGACTCAGGGAAAAGCGAAGGGAGCAAGGCAGCTGCGCTGAAAGCAAGCTCCTTTGTCTTTTACGCTCGGGCATGCTGCGCGTGCAGCGGAGGTCGCGCGGTCGATCGATCGATATTTCATCGCCAATGCGTGGTATGTGGGTCGATTAAGACAGTGTTTTCTTCTACAGGAGCTGTGGGATGCTGGCTCTGCTACCCAAAGAGTGAATTAGTTCCAAAGAAAGCACGTATCATCGAAAAACGCACAGTTGCAAGTCATCCGAACGTGACAGCCGGAAATCAGCTGATTTACTTCAAGTGCGATTTTCTCAAAATCAAGTGCCGCGGGATAACGTCCCTTTTCGCTTGCGCTGGCTAAATTATTAAATAAAATTTAAAATTAAAATAAAATAGAAGAGTGAAAGGATGAGGGGAACAGAGAGAAACACAGAGCGGAAGACAGAGAGGGAGAAAGAGGACAATGGGGAAAGATAAAGATATAGGACAAACACCTTGAAAGAAGGAAGATAGACAAACAGATACTTACAGTAAAATTCACAATTCCCGTCCGACTTCAGACCGAGAATCGTATAATCCCAACTCTTCTGCAAGGACGATACTTAGCAAGGCGCTAGAAGGATCTACACAGAGAGAACCTGATTCTGATATCTGTTGGGAGACGGCGACTCACTCAGGCACGCAAATAATCAATCTCTGGTGGGAAGCAAGGTGTTTGAAGGAAGATGCTAGAAAACCAACCGGTGACAGAAACTTATCGTGCAGAACTGACTGGAGACTGTAGCAAACCTAGGGTTTTTATACATGTACCCACGCTACGTGACGTCACACTGTGGGTGGTAATTGGCTGCTGATTCGTCAGCGTGTGGTATATAGGGGACTCCGCGATGACACTAGACTTGGGCTTCAATGTGAAGGACCCCACGATAGGCGGTCTGCCTTTGGGTCATCCTAGTTGTTACGTGTAGAAGAGGTCACCGGCGTATCACTTTAAAATCGAAGGACATGTAATTATTAGGTCTACACTCAGATGGACAGCCAAGGATAATATATAAAAAGTAAAAAGGACGAAGGAACTACAAGTGCCTCATTTGACTGGATGTGTGTGTTTGCGTGGGTACTTGCGACCTCAAACCTACCTCAAACGTTATTTTTATTACTCATAACAGGGTACCTCACTTCAGACTCTCCAACTACGATTTTTTCGCTGCATGAGTTCTCTCTTTGTTTCTCTCCTTATTATTCAGTTCGCCGTGGTTAGCTACCACCCGAACAACTCCCAATGCACAACACCACTCGCCACAGAGATAGACAAGTCGAGGTAGCTGAATGTGTGCGAGGCATTCTCCTGGGTGTGTTCCAGTGTGAAGCGTATGTCTGGGTGTCTGCTGCTCAAGACACACAAGAACACACTTCGCCATTGCTGCTGGTAACCACACTTCTCGTGCTTTCCCTTCACGCCGCACTAACACATATTCACACTTACAGACACAGCTCTTCACTGGTCTCCTTCGCTCCTTCCCTTTCTACCAACACACTTCACCATTGCTGCTACCCTACACACATACAAACATTTCCAGCACTACCGCACCACACAGCATAATTATATACTCGGTTCAGTTTTTGTTGGCTTTTAAGTTGATTGGTTTTTCACCGTGAAGATGGGCCATGCCCGAAAATTTGGTGCATTCCATTTATATCTAGTATTATTTATTTATTTTGGAAGTGAAGTGAACTTATGCAGCGAAGAGACCGTAGTTGGAGAGTCTGAAGTGAGGTACCCTGTAATGTGTGAGTGGCTGCAATGGAGTCTGCGAGTGCTTAGAATTATTATTATTATTGTTGTTACTATTATTTTTAACCCCTTGACTTGAGCGCGGATGACTTGTACTAGTGCGTCATAAGACCCACCCAGTAGTGCCTCACGGATGTGCTTATATTATTATTATTACTGTATTATTATTATTATTTAAATAGGCGTCGAGGCGACAATAGTTTTAGAATTGCGATCAACAGAACGAGCTGAACCGACATTTTCACAAAGGCTTTTATTGTATTCAAAAAACGAGTGTATACGACGGCAGTGAAGAACATGGAAGAAAGAAAAAATGTGATGTGGAAGAAATGATGAACAAAAATTGTACTTCGAACTAGTTTTCGCACAACACTCCTCAGGAAGCTACGTTGTACTAATGAAAAACAATCCAGAAAGATACTAATAAAGAGAAATGGAGTGAGAAGAAACAACACCTATGAAAATGATAATCCTAGCACTAAGGTAATAACAGGAAAAACTGCGAAAGCACTTAACGAACTTGTAAGGACTACTAGTATACTGTGACACAAGATATGACACCATGGCCAACCAGAGCCAAACCGACAGAACAAGTTGCTACTAAAACAATTTCAAACGAATAATGCTGTCCTTCTGGACACACAGATTAGGCTTATGAATACGTTGACAAACGGCTTCTAACACACTCAACTGCACCTTATAACCATGACGAGCACGGCACAAAACAGAAAAAGAAGAATCAGAATAAACCTTACAACAATCAGGACGAGATGCAAGATGCTTATACACTGATGACTTCCTACTAGAAAACACACGCTCGCACCCACTCTTACTCACACAATCATTCTCGCTCTCACACTCACCGGAATCACTGGACTCACTGGCCGAATCCTCCTCAACGACTTCCTGCCTCGGAGCAATCAGGTCCCGTCTCCTCCCATCCCTCGTCTCACGTTCCTGTTGTGTATTCCGTTGGTTCGGTACTTCCGTACTGAAATAGGTCATGGTGTAATTAGCAGTTGTTCTTCTGGGTCTCGTTGATATTGAGGTAGGTATTGTTGTCGTCTCTGCCGGTGATGCAGCAAGCGATGCTGATGCAAACGTGTCTGCATGCAACACACGTGGCGTCGCCAAAGCCACATCCACCTCCGCTGGTGGAGGGAGTGACTTGGTCATGGCCACGGGAGCCAATGGTGGACTTGTCGAGTGAGACGCTAGGTCCTGATGCGTTCGTTCACGGTGTTGAAGGACGTCCTACCAACACATCATTTAAGTCATGTAATCTACAACTTTTAATGCCGGAATTGTGCTAGCCGGTATGTTGGTAGGACTGTTCAGCACCTGAGCGAACGCATCAAGCAACACACTCCTTTACACATTATCCCACGTAGCGCACAACTGGAGCGTCCCACGCGGGGAAGACCCCGTAAACAACCACTACCTCCGCCAACACAGGACCTAGCGTCTCACAGTGCATAAGCATCTTGCATCTCGTCCTGATTGTTGTAAGGTTTATTCTGATTCTTCTTTTTCTGTTTTGTGCCGTGCTCGTCATGGTTATAAGTTGCAGTTGAGTGTGTTAGAAGCCGTTTGTCAACGTATTCATAAGCCTAATCTGTGTGTCCAGAAGGACAGCATTATTCGTTTGAAATTGTTTTAGTAGCAACTTGTTCTGTCGGTTTGGCTCTGGTTGGCCATGGTGTCATATCTTGTGTCACAGTATACTAGTAGTCCTTACAAGTTCGTTAAGTGCTTTCGCAGTTTTTCCTGTTATTACCTTAGTGCTAGGATTATCATTTTCATAGGTGTTGTTTCTTCTCACTCCATTTCTCTTTATTAGTATCTTTCTGGATTGTTTTTCATTAGTACAACGTAGCTTCCTGAGGAGTGTTGTGCGAAAACTAGTTCGAAGTACAATTTTTGTTCATCATTTCTTCCACATCACATTTTTTCTTTCTTCCATGTTCTTCACTGCCGTCGTATACACTCGTTTTTTGAATACAATAAAAGCCTTTGTGAAAATGTCGGTTCAGCTCGTTCTGTTGATCGCAATTCTAATAATAATATTATTATTATTATTATTGACTGGTTTTGAGGGAAAGAGACAAACGGGAAAAGTCTGAAGAAAAAATTGACTGTCACCACCAGGACTCGAACCAGGGACCCTCGCTTGTAGCCAGCGATGCTCTAACCGCTGAGCTATGGTGTAGTCGTCATCCAAGCAGAGACCGTTCAACGTTTTCTTCAGACTCCGTAACTCACACTTCCATTATTATTATTATTATTATTATTATTATTATTATTAACTGGTTTGAGGGAAAGAGACAAACGGGAAAAGTCTGAAGAAAAAATTGACTGTCACCACCAGGACTCGAACCAGGGACCCTCGCTTGTAGCCAGCGTAACTCACACTTCCATTATTATTATTATTATTATTTTAATATGGCAATAAGTAGGACGAGCTGAAGCGACATGTGGACTACTTTATTAACAATGTAAGCGATGGAGACGATGCAAGAAACAACCTTAAGGGTAAGGAAAAATACATGTAAGAAGAAAAAGGGCAATGGAAAAAAAAAAAGATGATTCGAACAAGTTTTCGTACAACACTCTTCAGGAATCACCGTTGTACTAAAGAACAAAATGAGAACAAAGGAAATAATATAGCAATCAAGGTAGGGTGACACGATACAATGACAGCACTAGAATATCGAGGTGCGATTTCTCACAAAAGTGTGCAGAAAACAAGGGTATACAAGTAAGAACTAAGCGTGACAAGTGTGTATCAGCAACAAAAAACAAAAAAGTGAGAACGAATGATAATAATAACAATAATAAACAAGAAGGTGACAAAACACATTTAGGCACAAGTGGCTTTTTTTCCATTGCCCTTTTTCTTCTTACATGTATTTTTCCTTACCCTTTAGGTTGTTTCTTGCATCGTCTCCATCGCTTACATTGTTAATAAAGTAGTCCACATGTCGCTTCAGCTCGTCCTACTTATTGCCATATTAAAATTATTGTCTCCTCGTCGAATTTTTAAATTATTATTATTATTATTATTATTACTGCATCCATGGATGCAGTGAATGGGATTTCGGTCTTTGACCACTTTGTGGTGGGTCTGATCTACTCACCTCCCACCGTTTAGGAGCTGCATCTGCGCCTTGATCCAAGAGGGTGGTGGCGTTCCTGCGGATGCGGAAAACTGGGCCTTTGGCCGAGTCTCACGCGAACCGTGAAATTTTTTTTTATTTATTTTTTTATTATTATTATTATTATTCAACGCAATAAATAGAGTAAGCTGCGCACTCAGTACAAACACCATAAGCAAAACTTGTTTTCATGTAAATAATTAAGCTTGTTCCTAAACGTTTTCGTCGCCATCTCATCAGAGGATTACTGGCAAAACAAAATTAGCTCTAAACTCAATATATATACGCACACTGCAAGTAATAATTTAGACCCTAACTAGCGCGAGAAAATGAGAGCTGAAAGAAACATTACATCAATTAACGATATCAGGTGACAACAGATGCGATCAATTCACCACTAGAAAGTAACCATGCACCACAAACGAGAACTACTGATCTAAATTCACAAACAATTTCAACGTAAACAAATTCTTTTCCTGCCTACACAAAATCGGCTTGGTGGTAAAAATGTAGATAGACTCCAATACACGCAGATACCTTTGACTACGTGAACGAGACCAAACAGAAAAGCAATCATCAGTATAACTAGAACGACAATCACTATTCTGAACAAGATGGTTTGCAACAGAAGATTCATACACCCTAACACCACTACTAGAACCAGTACATACTTTAGGAACAAGCTTAATTATTTACATGAAAACAAGTTTTGCTTATGGTGTTTGTACTGAGTGCGCAGCTTACTCTATTTATTGCGTTGATTACATTTTTATCTCCACGTAAGTTTCTTAATTATTATTATTATT